TTATCACTTTGAGGAGAACATGGAAGCATGAAGAATGTTTTAATTGCACAGGAATATATATTGGTGGGTGAATGCTATACCATAGTGCCCAGTTTATAATGTTAGAAAAATAATCAGCTATTCCAAATAGACACTCATTCAGTTCCCTGCACCTCCCACTGCCCCTCTTGATTTCTCTGAGTTTTCTTAGTGTCTCTGAAGCTAAACTGAACACAAAGACAAAAGCTCCCATGTAAGAGTACTTAGTGTTTCTTATACTTGAACCCAAAGAGCAAGAAGAAAACCCCGAGAAAAAGAAATCCTTTAGAAAATATTGTGGATATCCCAGAAGAGTGCAAGGTGGGATATGGAAGACAGCTGCCCCTGAAGATAAGTTCGTGTGATATAGTATTAGTATCACCAATTCCAATAGTGTGAGGAATGCTATGTGGTACTTTTCCTTGGGAGAGGCACCAGGGTATCACGAGTGTTCTTTGGGCCCTGATCAACAACCGGTTCTCCTGTGGGGCACCTTTGAGTGTCACAGGCAGCTTCAAAGAAGCTATAATGTGCTCCTGCCCCTCAGACAGAGTCCTAGAACGAGCAGATTTGCATGAGATTCGAGAAAGAACTATCCCTTATAAATAACCTTAGAAGGGTCTCAAGAACCAGCAAGAGCGGCTCATTTGGTCCCATGTCCCCGCCACCCCCCACTGTGCTTGTTTTGAACCAGCCAAAAGGCCTCCCCATCTTGATGCTAGTGAACTAGCGGAGGACCCTGTTGATTACAGCCTGGGCCAATGACAACAGCCTGCCTTGAGAAAGTAGGCAGTGCTGGGTCTCTAGGGCGCCAGTCTCTCCTGGTGATCCAAGTTCAGCTTGGTCCCAGGGATAAGGGGTTTGGGGCATGTCTATAATTATATTCTAATGATTTCAAAGACTATTGGGATGTTCTTCTGAGAGCTAGTACATGATCCTTGTGAATGGGAGAGCCTGGGGCTTCTGAAGCAAGGCTTCCTTCTAAGAAAAATCTGTGTTTTGTTGCTATGGCAGCAAGGGCATTCAGGGCAGAATAGGAGTTACTTTTCATGTGGAAAGTATTAATGGCAGGAATGATTGTTGAAACTGGGCCAGAGGCACATTTTTCCTGATTTAGCAATGCTATTTTTTTTTCTTTTTATTCTTTGGCCACCTTTTCTGAGTTGAGGAGAACTTTGATGGAAAAAAAAAAATCCAACCCAGAACAACAAACAGTGATTGTAGTTCATGAGAGACACCATTCATAATTCAAAGCCATAGGCAGGCCCCGTCTAGAAACTCTCACGGAATCTTCGTGAATGTTGTAAGTGTACAGTTGCTGTTTTGGGCTGTTAGCGACACAGAAGTTGAAAGTGCAGTTAGAACAGTTTCTTTTTTCCAGGCAATTTCCTTCTTTCTTTCCTGTGATTTCGTGTGATCATTATAAGCAAGGAGAAATGACCTTTCAAAAAATTGTTTCTCACACTTAGAATGGGCTGTGAGGGCGACAGATGTCACTTCCACGCTGACTATAAGAAACGCACTGGTCTCGGGTCAAATATTCAGGAAATTCAGCATTTTGTTTTCTGAAAGAGAGTAAATATCGCATCGTGGATAAAAGCAGACTTTATCCCCTGGTGTGGATGGTTTCTGGCTCTAAGAGCCTGAGAGCATTGCTCACATTCTTGGAACCTCGGAAGCTTAATTTGTATAACAGTGGGATAAGAATAAATCATTCCCCAGGAGGCAATGTTGGCAGTAGCATATTAAGGACTGTACACGTCACATAAGAAATGTACAATAAATGTTAGCTCTGAGTGTAGAGATGTGAGGATAAATAACCTTGCCCAGGGTCATTAGAAAATAATTCAGACTGCTTGAAATCTACAGATTTATTTTACATAAATTTCAACCACAATTTCTTAAAACATTTTCTAACCAAATAATATATGAAAAGAAAAAAAACAATATAATATGCAATATAACATGATTTTCAGACTGAAGACCAAAGAAGGTCATTACATGGTCACAATTTAGAAGCACATCCCAAGAGGCAAGATGAAATTGTTCCCCAAAACCTTATTCTTAAGACAATATACTCACAAATGTATAAGATGAAAAAAAAAACTTTAGCCAATGATCAATGTGTCATACCTCTGATGAACAGGCCTGAAAATATTAAAAATTAGAAGGAAGTACTAACAATTGCAAAGCAAGGATTAAGAGACCAAGCACTAGAGAGATGGACCAGAAGTTTAGAGCACTTGCTGCTCTTCCAAAGGACGCTGGTTCAGTTCCCAGCATCCACATGGCAGCTCACAACTTCCTGAAACTCCAGTTTCAAGGGTTTTGTGCTCCTCTCTTCTGGCCCTGCAGTCACAAGCCATGTACATAGTGGACATACTTACATATAGGCAAAAAATCATAACATGAAATAAATAAGAAAGAATCAGAAGTAGGAGTAGGAAGAGGAAGGAGGAGGAGAAGAAAAAAAGAGCACACTAAATTTATTACCTGAAATCAGAAATATAATCAAACATAGACAGGGAAACTCATTTCTACCTCACAATTTCCAAGTAACACCCAGTACATTCCTTAGAATTGCCTGAACTCAGAGTGGGGGAGGGGGGATGTTTGCTGCTAGGGATTTAAACCAGAGTCTTATATACTAAGTAAGTACTCAACCACTGAACTTTACAGCCAAATTCTCTTACTTTCCTTTTATGTTATTCATTTATTTTAATTTTGGGACAAAGTCTTACTAAGTTGCCCAAGCTGGCCTTGTGTTCTGCCTGTATCGTCGACTGGAGTAACTAGAATTATGAGTCTGGCTGAAAGCGGCATCTTTCAATTGGCAGTGAACTTTGTGGTAGAGGCAGAATGATCCGAGTTCAAGGGTGACCTGGGATTCAGCAGAAGACTTTGTTGTTGTTGTTATAGTGGAGAGCAAAAGAAAAAAGGAATGGGAGAAGACAGGAAAGAGTAGGAAAATGCAGTGAGGGATAAAAAGGAAGGAGAGAGAGGATAGAAGAAAAGAAATTCTGAGTAATTTAATATCATGTATAGTTTATCACAATTAAATTTTAACTGGATTTTCTTATGCCTAAAAATGAGTCTGAATGGCATGGTGGCTCACATCTTTAGTCCCAGAACTTGGCAAGCAGAGGCAGGTGGATCTCTGTGAGTTCTTCTTAGTCTATATAGTGAATTCCAGGTCAACCAAGATTGTGTAAGACCCTATCTCAAAAACTACCTCCCCATAAAAAAAAAAACCCAAGCAAATAAGAAATAAAAATGTTTAAAGAAATGTCCTTGAGATAAAATTATCCAACTTTTTTGAAAAGATGACTCCCTTCTTGAACACAGCATGAAAATCAAGCACAGGGCTATTCTGTCTACTATAATCATCCCCCCCCCCCACAAGAAGTCTCAATTATTAAAAGTCAGATTATTGCTAGAATTAAAATCTAAAGTTTATGAAAAATGGTTTATTTATTTTAAAAAAAACTAAACAGAAAATCTATTAGGCACAAAGAAAAGTAATGTTTCAGGCAGTGGTGGCACATGCCTCAAATCCCAGCACTCAGGATAATAATAACTCTTTGGGAAACCTGTCCCCACACACCATCCCTGCCATAGCCACCACCACCACCCCCCAAACCACTTCCTCATTCTCAGTCCCCTGTGAAACTGACAGACCCACCTCTGCCCACCTCCTCCCAGATGCACCAGTCACCTCTAGCTAGACCTCAATTCTCCTTCCCAAAGCGACACCACCAGGCCAGCACGGTCCCTCCCTCCCTCCATAGCTCATCCCTTCTGGTTTTCTGTCACTGCTACAAACCTCTGCCCTGATACCCTAGTTTAAACCTCTGTTTTACAAATGTAAAAATTAGCATCATGCTTGACCAATGATTCCTATGTATGTACTGACAAGATGTGTATCATTTTTTTTGGCAGGATTTTACCTACAGCTGAAGCAATTCTATGAAAACTACTCAGTATTCAACAGAGCTATTTCTTCCCCCAGAGAGAATTAATCATAGGCAAGGACTGGAAAAGACATTTCCCTAGATGAAGCTCAAGCCTGCTCCTGCTGAGAGGCCCATTCTATTTTAATTTGCCAATTAAAAGTGGCCTGGGAAATCTCAGACTGTCATTATCTCATTAAAAATACATACTCGTCACTCCCTTTCCATCCTCTGGAGAATTAACGCTCAAGTCGCCCAACTGCTCTCTACAATTTAAAGTTAACATCATCTTCAAAAGATGACCTTTACTGGGGGGTCAATGGAAGATGGTGTCTTCTGCAGCTAACAGTTGCCCAAAAATTCTACACAACTCCCTTCACTACATCTGTGGGTACATTACTGGGTATTCATCACATCTATGAAATTACTAATTACTGAAAAGAAATGGAAAGAGAAGCATTGTTTTCAGGTAATAAGTTGGCCAGAAACATAGGAAGAGAGAGTCCTATAACTAGGTACTTCAACACCCTTCCCTTTAGAGAATCTTAGGATGCTAGCTGACTCTTATTCCACCCCTCCCCTCTATCATAGAGGATTATCTATGGGCTGTTGTCACAAATACAGTACTGGTGGTTGAGATTACTCGTTTCTGTTTTTATGGCAGTCATAAATCCTCTAACACACTGTTATGAGGAGAAGGTTACTGGAGAAAAACGGAATGGCTGGAGTCACGTGGCATGGTACTGCTTCTCAGTTCCCAGTGAGCCATAAATACTAGACATCGCAAGTAACGCAGAAGCACAGCAGCAATGCTGGATGGTTCCTTATAGCTAATAATGTCCCTGAATCATAAAGTAGTCAATGGTAGGAGGACACCACTGCCTCTCTGTGTATTCTTGAGCTTGACACCGTGCAGGCACCTGCAGGTTGCTGAGTATGTCCAGACGCACTTTTCAAAGAATTAACTGATTCCTGTCCAGCATAGTACACTAGGAAAAGACCCTCTGCCATCTCCAAATTAGGAAAAATTACCTTATTTCCTTGAAATCCCTTTGGGCCTGGATCACCTGGAGGTCCACCAATGCCCTGCTCCAAGGTAAAAACCATGGATTAGATTATGTGCCAAACTAGAAGACCAATCAAGAAAGAACATGCAGTTTCCTAGGGTTGCTGGGAATCCTGCTATCAGTAGCCCGACTGTGAGATTCCGACCTACTTTGAAATCACATTCAAATAAGAGCATGCATAGCATAAACTCCTTGAGTCAAGTCCAAAGCTTCTAAAACAACGAAGACTAAAAACAAACATAAATAGGAAGTCTGTTTTCTGAATGTGTGTTCTTAATCTTCCTGTGTTAGATTCCACTCTTGAAAAGGATTTTTGCCTTTCTGACAACTTTTTAACTATTTCTAATCAGATCATTGAAAGCTTTCCCTTGCAACAAGCCTGCAATGGGCTGTCACTGCCTTGTTCTGGCAAATCCAGGCTAAAATGAAGAAGCTGGTTAACTAGATACAGCCTCTGAATTCTTGAGTTAAAAACATAACTTTCAGCCTATCTAGGGAGGGGCATTTTGTTGGTTTGATTTTGTTCTTGTCTTGTCTATGGGGTGCCAAGGATTAAAGCCAGGGCTTTGTGCTTTCTTGATAATCACTAAGATGTACTTCCAGACAGACCTTCAGGGGAGCTTTTGCAATGCTGCAATTACTTATTTACACACATCTGTATCCATTGTTACTTTAGAAGAGGCAAGTCCCTTCACTGGAAGAATTGATCCAAATTATTTTCTGGGGTCCACAGTATATAAGCTCATAAGTTATAGACTCATTTGATATTTTGAAGAATTAACTACTTATGTTGCTGGGATAATATAAATATTTAGATAAACAAATTTAGAAAAAATGTACAACTCTTATCACTACCTCATAGAAGCAATATAAGGTAGTTATATTGCTCATGTATAGCTCTTTCTCATAGTTACCTGACTTTCTGCATGTAAATTATTTTTCATTCCCTTAGCTATTCACCAGATGGAGTTATCAAGAATATTGATGAGGTTCCTATCATTGCCTGTCTTTAGAGTCTGAGTCAATAAAAACATTAGTAAAGTGATTTCCAAACATGGCTTTATATACAGGAAGCATTCAGGAGCCTTTATAAAGTACTGATGCCTGGCTTCGGTTCCTAGATGCTCTGATTTAATTAAAAATGGTGCACATGGGCCAAGGTAGTTGTTGTTATTGCTGTTGTTGTTGTTTGCCATTGATTTGTTGCTATTCAAAGCTCCCAAGGTGATTCCAGTTCAAACTTAGATTTTCTTTTTGCCTTCTTACCTGAATTCCTCTGGGTCCCTTTGGTCCGTAAGGCCCCGGAAGTCCCTGTGGGGTAAAATGAATGATAAGTCTCTCTAATTATCCATCTCCATAAAGCATAGATTTTAAATTTAAAAAATGTGTTCTGGGTGACATTTGCTGGTTATTCAAACATCAAAGAGAATGAATTGAAATGCTCCTAACGATCCTAATTGTTAAGAGACCTCAGAGTCAAACTTTGCTTCAATAAATAAACTCCAAGAAAACCCAAGTTGACGTGTCAGTATTTAGCCTATATGTTGACATTTGGTTCAAAGGAAAGAAATTGCTTCACAAAGATTCTCAGAACATTCTATTAAGTAGAGAAACTCCTCTAGTTAGTGGAATATCATTCCCTTCCAGCAAACCAATGTTGTTAAATCAGCAATGAGTCTGCTTGCCGACTGGATTGCTCTTCTCCCCAACTTGGAATTTGGTAAAACACTGTTTATAGCCTATGATCTTTCCAAATATTTCAATATGTTCCATATTTCAAAATACATTTATAGCTGGGCAGTGGTGGTGCACACCTTTAATCCCAGCACTCAGGAGACAAAGGCAGGAGAATCTCTTTGAGTCTGAGACCAGCCTGGTCTACAGAATGAGTTCCAGGACAGGCTCCAAAACTACACAGAGAAACCTTGTCTCGAAAAAAAAAAAAAAAACACAAACAAAAAATACATTTACAATTATTTTGTGTGAATATAATACAGTCTAGATTACCTTTTCCAAGTTGTCTATCTGTTTTCAAGTTACTTGTTAAGAATCAGGATACATCCCTTAGGCAAGAGGATAACTATATGTTTTTTCTTGGGTTCACCTTCTTATTTAGCTTCTTTAGGTTCACCAGGTATACACTCCATGACCTTTATTTATGGCTAGAAACCAATTATGAGTGAGTACATCCCATGTTCATCTTTTTGGGTCTGGGTTACCTCGCTCAGGATAGTGTTTTCTATTTCCATCCATTTGCATGCAAACTTCAAGAAGTCCTTGTTTTTTACCACAGCATAGTACTCTAATGTGTATATATTCCACACTTTCTTCATCCATTCTTCCATTGAAGGGCATCTAGGTTGTTTCCAGGTTCTGGCTATTACAAATAATACTGCTATGAACATAATTGAACAAATGCTTTTGTCATATGATAGGGCATCTCTTGGGTATATTCCCAAGAGTGGTATTGCTGAGACCAGGGGTAGGTTGATCCCGAATTTCCTGAGGAACCGAAACACTGATTTCCAAAGTGGTTGCACAAGATTGCATTCCCACCAGCAATGGATGAGGGTACCCCTTCCTCCACAGCCTCTCCGGCAAAGGCTATCATCGGTGCTTTTGATTTTAGCCATTCTGACAGGTGTAAGATGATATCTCAAAGTTGTTTTGATTTGCATTTCCCTGATTGCTAATGAGGTTGAGCATGACCTTAGGTG